GGATCTCTATTTGCCTATACAGGGTTGTTCAAGGAAAATCAACAGCAAAACTTTGTCACTTAAAGTTACCTGGAAATATATGGTAGAAGGATTATCTATCTAAAGGCAGTTGACTAGTTTAAGGTTTGTCCAGGAATTAATAGAAATCATTAAAATATGACCATATTTGTTAATTGGGTCGTTTTCAAAAAACACCCGCCTTCCGCTGTCCGTAAGTTTGAATTCCAATAACTTTGTTAAAAATTATCGGAACTTATTGATTTAAAAACCAAGTGGAAGCCTAACAAGCCCTTAGTAAACTCTTTCAGAAAATGTTTGTTTAGTTATTTCAGAATAATTTTTTTTTAATTTTGAAACTTGTGAAACACACATTTTCGCATGTCCCATTAGCGTAGAAATAAAACTTACATACATTTTTTTTTAAATATTGAATAACCAGAACTTTGTGTTGCTTTATAGCAATCCATAACATCCTTAGTTAATACAGTAAACAATTTATATATCTATAGATATATAAAATAATTAATTTTAATCTACTTTTTTTAAATTTGACTCATGTCCCAGACATTTTTTCCGTTGCGTTACGTCCGTCGCGTTACCGATAGAATATTAAAAAAAACAGATATATGGCAACTTTTTTGGCACTCACGTGATCAACAAATGATGTTCGGACGTACACATTACCCAGCTGAATTTATTTATTCAAACAGGAAGAAGATATCGGTTGAAACAGGTGCGGGTAACGCGAATGTAATAATTGTTTGTCCGCTAAGTTAATCAAAAAAATAATAAAAATAAGGTAAGAAAAAATACTATTTTTCATGTTTATGTTTATTTTAGGGCACTAAAGTTCATTGAGAGTAATTAATGACTATAATGTCTTATTATTATTTTTTAAATATGGTTTTACAAAACTTTGTCCACTGCGTTACCGAGTGCACTATGTTCCCTTATGGTAACGCAATGGAATTTAGGGTAACGCAATAGAACTTTTCGACAACAAAGTGGATATTTACCGTCGCTTTTATTAAAAGTAGTTTATGATTAACCAATTTAAAATTATTTGTAATTACAATTCATGATATAGATTACATCCAAGGGAAAATTCCACGCAATATTCAAGTACTAAAAGGGACCTTTACCAGCTTATAGTCAAAGAAAAAGGTGTCTACAATTTAGAAATATAAGTTGTTATTCTGCAAGTGAGCACCACTACAAGGGATTTTGTTTATGCATTACTCTAAAATCGTACCACCCTATATAGTTTCTTTTTTACGTTATCTTATTAAGTCCTTTGTGTACCCCTGTCCGTTGTGATACCTATTTCGTTACTTTTTTTTGGTTTTTGTTAAAAAAAATACTTAATGATTTTTATACACTATCACTTGGAAATACGTGTTTATAAATTATAGTTTAATTCACTAATACAGTGACTAAAAGAAAATATTAATGGTATTGTTTTTTTAACAAAGAATCGGAATGGTTTCTTTTAAAAAGTAACTTAACGAACATACATATTTAAAAAAGAGCATAAAATTTTTAATAAAAAATAAAATAAAAAATTGGAGTCAAAAGTTTGTGAACTAAGTACATTTTATTTCAAATTATTTTTATAACAACTTTTTTTATTGAATTAAATTTTGGATTTCAAATTGGTAACACAGTGGAGATATATAAAGCTAGCCAAACACATTTTTCTGAAAAAAACGTAAACAAAATTAAAAAGTGCACTGCCTGTCTTAAATGTAAGTAAACAAAACTCTAAACATTTATAAAAATCCAACCAAAAGTCAATTTAAGCAAAAAAAATATTTTGATCTTCATTTTCATGAAAGCGGGTGTTTCTTGAAAATGACCCATATAAATTTTAAATAATATTCCTTAAGTGTCCAATAACTATGTAAGCATTTTTATTTTTCCCAATTTATTAACACCCTGTATATCTAATTTGACATTTAACATTATAACACGTTCCAAAGTTGGTTACTCTATTGTTTTATAGATGTCGTTCTATAAAAATATTTAATTTAAATCATTTTTATAAATAAAATCTAATTTAGATTGTATATTGTTTTACATATTCGAAAATATTATTTTCAACTTGCGTAAGAAAATTTGTGTTTTACTGTAACTTGATGTTCCATTGAAATGTATCCTTATTTAGAATTAATAAGGCAATCAATCAATAAAAATAATTGCATTTTTTTTAAGTAAGACAGGCGAGGTTTAATTCATAGGTTGTGCAACTTTGGGATGTCTGAAAAAGATGCAAGTTCGCTGTAATATTTCTAAGAAAATAATTCATTAATTACCTAATACTCTGTTTGCGTAATCATCTTTATGGTCACTTTTTAACACAAACAATTTTTAATAAAAAAAAAATTATTATTTATTTCTTTTTTTTATTTTGTACAAAATTAGGGTCAAATCAAAAATACTTCAGTCCACAAAAAATGTAATAATAAAATGTATTTGTAAAAAAGGTAACTTTAAAGGGTCTTATGGAAAACTAGACACATATTTTTACATACATATAAAAGGCCATCATTAGATTTGGAATCGTAAATCTTATTTAGACCTGCCTCAAAATATCTACATCAACTTTTACAACGTCATATCTCATCATTTAAATTTTTTTAAAAGTCCGTTGCAAAAATCATATTAACAAAACTCAAAAAAATAATTTGTTGAAAATGAAGTCTAGAAGATATAAAAATTTTATATTAAAATGTCTTTGTCCAGTCAATTCACTCTAAATGTTGATAAATGTATTTCTTAAATTGTATTAAAATGATGAATTGTTTTCTTGAAAACAAGATATATAAATTAATTATTTTACTTTTCAATTGCTTTGATTATATTTATAAACGTCTAAATTTATTTCGAATTTTATAATCAAGCAATTTATTTAACTATTAATTTCTTTAATTTAGATTAAGTTTTATGATCTGTGATTTAGATAAAAATTAAAATTGAGAAGTTGCAAAATTGGCGAATGCGCCGGGATTAATACACACTTACCAACATAAAAAAACAAAAATACAATTTCAAAGAATTCGCTTCTTGCTTATTGTTCTTACCTTGAATCTTCCAACAAAGCTTACTTAATTTAACTCTTTGTAAATTTGAACGTAATTTTCGATACATTAAACATTAAAGTGATTCCTAATTAGTGTATATATACGCCTTATACACCTTTTGTTTATTCTCCATTCCTGTTCTTGTACCTAAGTCAAGAAAACGGAATAGTTAATGTAGAGAGTATTACATTTTTATTCGAAATCTAATGCCGGTTTTACACCAAACCGACTAGTTGAGTTGCTGTTTTGTTGCTGTTTTAAAAAACAAAAACTCAACTGTTTTTAAAGATAAAACTGTTCACACTAAACAGACAAAAATTAGTTGCTGTCGAGTTTTTGTTTTTTGTCGTTTTACATCAGAGAAACAGTTGCAGTTTTGTTTAGTTCTATTCAGAAAGTAGATGGTTGTTCATTATTTTATATTATTTATTTAAAAAAATTAACATGGATAGTGACGAGGAACGCTTTTTTTTCTCGTGTGCGGTTGGCTGTTGGTACGTGATTTAGAAAAAAAAAGAAAACACTGCACTTCCTTATTATTATTCCTAATAATTAACACTATATACTTATTCTTTTTTGATAAATAACCTTGCCGCGACTGTCAACATGACAAAAACACAGCTCGCCACAACTCAAGTTGATAACAGACGTTTACACCAAGCCGACTGAGTTGCAAAAAACGCAGCAACTCTTTGAAGTTACCGACATCGATCGGGAAACGAAAAACACAACAGCAACTGTTGAGTTGCCGAAAAATCTTCAAAAAATCTGCAAAAAGTTGCGGTTTTGTTTTTTTCAACTCGAATTGCTGTTTTGTCGGTTTGGTGTAAAACCGGCATTACAAAATGTGACATGTATGTTGTAGTAAATGGGGAAGTTTAGCAAAGTTATAGTCATGTTTATCTTACCTTTTACCTGTATTATACGCATTTTCGTATATTGTTGTAATTTAACATTTTTCAGTGAAACAATTTTAAAAGCTATGCAGCTCATTTATCAGCAATGTAATGGGATTGCCTACGTGCTTAATTTATGTTGGCAATAGTGATTTTTGACATTTAACCTATAAATAACATAAATATTTGTATTGTTGCAATTTTATAGCAGTTTACTTTGTAAATGTGTATATTTTTAAAATTTATTGTGTAAATTATGATACCAGATGTAAATTTTATAATCAAGCAATTTATTTGATTTCTTTAATTTAGATAAAAATTAAAATTGAAAAGTTGCAAAATTGGCGAATGCGCCGGGATTAATACACGCTCACCAACATAAAAAACAAAAATACATTAAACATTAAAGTGATTTCTAATTAGTCCATATAACGCATATACATATAACCTTATAGGTATATGATATAACGCCTTATACACCTTTTGTTTATCCTCCATTCCTGTTCTTGTACCTACCAAGTCAAGAAAACGGAATAGTTAATGTACATTTTTATTCGAAATCTTACAAAATGTGACATGTATGTTGTAGTAAATGGGGAAGTTTAGCAAAGTTATAGTCATGTTTATCATACCTTTTACCTGTATTACACGCATTTGCGTATATTGTTGTAATTTAACATTTTTCAGTGAAACCATTTTAAAAGCTATGCAGCTCATTTATCAGCAATGTAATGGGATTGCCTACGTGCTTGAATTTATGTTGGCAATAGTTTTTTTTGACATTTAACCTATAAATAACATAAATATTTGTATTGTTGCATTTTAATAGCATTTTACTGTTTAAATGTGTATATTTTTAAAATTTATTGTGTAAATTATGATACCAGATGTGAAAATACCACTATAGAGCACAGTGTAAGTCTAAATCACATAATACTTAATATAAAACATAACCTTGATTTCTTTAAAAATTAGTCACCTTTTTATTAATTTATATTGTTTTAGTCTTATTATTATTGTTGAAATGTCCACGCCAAGCGTATTAGACCACGCTGTGGAAGCCGCGAAAAAGGCTGTGCAATTCGATTTCGAAGGCTTACAAGAACCCTCAGCCTATTACTATGAAGCTGCAGCCAAGTTTCTAAACGAAGCTGCGTCGAACACAGAACCCGAAAACGCGGAATCGCTTAAAGCTAAGGCGGAAGAGTACAAAAAGCGCGCTGTGAGTTTACGGGAGAGTCTTAAAAAGGAGGCAGATATTCGTAACGATGATAGTGTTCAACAGAAGAAGCAGTGCTATTTTTTGCTGGAGCAGGCCATAGACACGGACGAAGGAGGGGACAAAGAGGATGCTATTGAGATGTACGCGCAAGCTGTGGAGTATATCTCACAGTTCCCTGATTTAATGCAGGGGGAACTTAAGGGGTTTGTGATGCAAGCGTTGGAGAGAGCAGAAGAATTAAAGGGTGAGTTTAAAAAAAAAATATTCAGTTTTTAACATTTTAAATGTGTTATGGCTCAAAATCCGTGATCATAAGTTATGATTCATAACCTTAGAGTATAAAAACATGGATAAACCTTGGAGCATACAATACATGGAGTGCATTGCCTGCAACGCTGATTTTTACAATTACAGGGATTAAAAAAAGTGATTCACCAACTACACCACCACAAAAAATGCACCAAACAAATGTTTCCAGTACTAGTGCTAGTCATCATAAGGCATCCTTACACAGAGGCTCAAGTGCGCATTTGCAAGTTTCTGGTAATGATACATATTCTGAAGAGGAAAAATTAGTATTGTTGCATACTTCTAATATAAATGGGAGACAGTTTGTTCCTTTTATGAACATAGATTTGGCTGAAAAGTTTCAATATTCAATACCTTTTACTGATAAGGATGGACATTTGATATTGTCTCCCAAACAGAAGAAAGACTTTCATAGGTAAGGAGTTTGTGTTATAGTTTTTAAAATAGTGCTGAATAAATTTAATAAATTTAAAAACTAACTAATTAATAAACATTCAACAATACTTATATTCTTGTAAAAAAAATTACGCTGTATTACGTTTTTTTTTTGTAATTTAAAGCAGGTCAAAGTATAAAATAAATAAAAAAAAACATATTTTTTTCGCAGAATTTTTGTAGTTGGCCATTTTCACTTGTATGTCTGTTAAATTATTTTTTTACTGTCTAAAACTATTAAAAAAAAACGAAAATAGCAGTTTTTTCAAATGACCATAACTTTTTAAAAATTCCCCATAAAGTGCCAAGGACAACAATTTTACTCCTGTTTTGTAAAAAAATAACCTTATTCTATCAGGGCTCTCATCGAACTGTCAAATGTCAATTTTAAGGTTAATTTACCATAATTTGGCATTGTGTTAACTTAAATAAATATTTTATAAAATTATTGAGATTAATTTGGTAAAGTTAAATTTTTTAGTATTAAAAAATAGTACTAAGCCATTTAAAATAAAAACACATGGGTATAAAACATTTTCTACCAAAATAGTTTAAAAATTTAAATTTTTGTAAACTCAAAACTATTGATAATCAAAACATATTTTAAATATAAAATGAAACTGTAAAAGTTTAAGTTTAAAAATATTAATTTTTAAAAAATGGAATTTTAATATTTTATTCTTCAAAATTATTGGTTTAATTTGTAAAGATTCATTTAAATCATAGTCAATAAATTTTCAATACAAAAATTTGAACATTACATTTAAATGTTATTTTTAAATATTAAAGTGGTAATTTTTGCATTAAAAATTTATCGACTATCATTTAAATGACTCTTAACAAATTTAAACCAATAACTTTTATTTTTAACAATTTTAAATTGATACATTTTTAAGACAAAATTTATAACTTTACATTTAAATGTAAGTCGATAATTTTTAAATTACAAAGTGTAAACGTAGCTTTAGTACAAGGCCCAAGAGTCTGGGATCGGAGCCACGATGCAGCCAGTTTGATCCGAAGTGTTGCCAAATCGTGCTTGCTCCATAAATATTTGACGCGTTTTACAAATTATCGTAATGAAATGTTTCTTTATTACATAAATTTAATAATAGAACAACAACAGTTTAAGTGCCTATTGTACTAAGTTAATTCGACAATTAAAAAACATCAACGGATCAAACTGGCTGCATCGTGGCTCCGATCCCAGACTCTTGTGCCTTCTACTAAAGCTACGTTTACACTTTGTAATTTAAAAATTATCGACTTACATTTAAATGTAAAGTTATAAATTTTGTCTTAAAAATAACACTTTAAAATTGTTAAAAATAGAACATTTTGGTTTAAATTTGCAAAGAGTCATTTAAATGATAGTCGATAAATTTTTAATCCAAAAATTACTACTTTAAAATATAAAACTTACATTTAATGTAATGTGAGAATTTTTGTATTAAAAATTTATCAACTATCATTTAAATGACTCTTTAAAAATTTAAACCAATAATTTTGTAGAATAAAATATTACAACCAAAACTTTTAAAAATCAATATTTTTAAACATAAATTTTTACTGTTGCATTTTATATTAAAAAAAAATTTTGACTATCAATTGTTTTGAGTTTTAAAAAAATTTAACTTTATAAATTTCTGTTAAAACATAGGTAATTTAAGTGCTAAACTTTAATCTTTAAACTTTTATCTAATAAATGCTAAAACGGCGGGCCATACTGATCATTAATAGTCCTGGGCAATATATACATTATAATTATTATTAAGCCACTACAAGTATTAATTAATTAATTTAACTACTTTTTTATATGATTTTACTCATCTAAAAGTAAAATTAACGTACCTTAAGTCAATTTATAAAAAAGTTATGGGTATTTCATGCTTTACCTCGAATATTTGTTTTAGTTTTGTGAGACCTGAACAAATTTGCTCAGACCCTTGCATAGTACATGGAAATGTCCCGAATTACCTAAACATTAAACAAACAGTAATATCAGATTGTTCGTTTGTTGCCAGTTTGGCAGTAAGCGCTTCGTATGAAAAACGTTTCGGTAGAAAATTGGTGACTGCAATAATTTTTCCACAAACCAAGGATAAGAGACCTGTTTACAACCCTTTTGGGAAGTACATGATAAAGTTGCATATCAATGGTGTCGCAAGAAAAATCATCGTGGATGACAGTTTTCCCATAGACAGATATGGGAGGTTGCTTTGTTCATATTCAAGCAATAAAAATGAATTCTGGATATCACTGCTTGAAAAGGCGTACATGAAAGTTATGGGTGGTTACGATTTTCCAGGCAGTAACAGTGTAAGTGGACTTTTAGTTATATTCATTTCAGGATAATATAACCTAAATATTTTCCATTTTCCACTATGTTATCAAAGGGTCTTTACATCTCGAATCGTCCAGGCATCGTTATTTTTATCGAATTTTTTTTACAGTTTCTTTACTGAAATTGATGAGACCCATACTAAAATACACATTTTAGTAATGATTAACGTAAAAAGTGTAAACATTTCAATTCAGTAATAATCGTCAAACAAATAAGTCGTCTAAATTTAAACAGCATTTAGCATTATTAAAAGCGTCGATTAAGAAAGTCTCCACTCAACGGTAAAATACCATTATATTATGTATTATACACTCACGTGCAAAATAATCGATCCATACAAATTTTCGATGCATTTCAATCGCAAATAACTTTTTTATTTGATGTCGGATTTAAACGAATATTAAAGAATATTGTAGATAAATTAATGGACCATCGCTCACATTTTAAAAAATTACCAAAAAATAGACGTACGTTTATAATATACAGGTTTAAACAAAAAAATGTTTTTTACCATAAGTTTAAGACACTCTGTAGAGTGGCAAAACCGTATATTGTTCTAAATTAAGTTTTATTTATCAAGTCACATCTATTCTTAACAGTTTTGTTTTTGGTTCACCTCGATATATTTATTTTTGTGGAAAATATGGATATTTTTAAAAAACATTGCATATTCCAATATTTTTCCTGTATGAAGAACTAAAGTTGCTATGGTCCATCCATAGCCTATGGAGAATGACAGTGACAGTTTTGTTGAATCATCCCTTACTTGGACATGTCATATACAGCTTTCAAAAGTTATCAAATTGTTTTTTGTAAATTAATGTGTTAATTTTGAGGTGTCTGGTTACTTTTAAGAATGTCTCCGACTGATGTTGCCCTTTGTACTTTACTTCTTATGACGTTTAAAACACTTGCCACGTAATACTGTGACCGTCCATCCTGGATTAAATTAATAGCTCTGGCAACATCAGTCGGAGACATATCCATTTAATAAAGTAAGAAGACACCTTAAAATTTAAACATTAATTTGCAAAAAACAATTTGATAGCTTTTGAAAGCCGTGTATGACATTTCCAAGTATGGGATGATTCAACAATACTGTCACTGTCATTCTCCATAGCCTATGGATGGACCATAGCAACCTTAGTTCTTCATACAGAAAAATATTGGAAATTGCAATGTTTTTTTTTTAATCCATATTTTCCACAAAAATAAATATATCGAAGTGAACCAAAAACAAAACTGTTAAGAATAGATGTGACTTGATAAATAAAACTTAATTAAGAACAATATACGGTTTTGTCACTCTACAGAGTGTCTTAAACTTATGGTAAAAAACATATTTTTGTTTAAGCCTGTATATTATAAACGAACGTCTATTTTATGGTAATTTTTTAAAATGTGAGCGATGGTCCATTAATTTATCTACAATATTCTTTAATATTCGTTTAAATCCGACATCAAATAAAAAAGTTATTTGCGATTGAAATTCATGGAAAATTTGTGTGGATTTTGCACGTGAAACGTGAAACATGAAACGAAAAAAATTGCCTGGTCGATTTGAGATGAAAAGGCCGCAAATAAAATTATCCCTACCCAAATTCCCTTGACCGCTTTCCAGAACGCGGTAACCTTAAAAATGTTGCAGAACATCGATCTGCACGCCCTCACCGGTTGGATACCGGAACGAGCCGCAATCCGGCCGAACGATCCCGACTTCAACCGAGACGCCCTGTTCGGCACTCTCGAATCGCGGTTGGCCAAGGGCGACGTCCTCGTCACCGTGGCAACGGGCGAGCTGTCTGATGCGGAGGCAGATCGCAGTGGCCTCGTGCCTACGCACGCCTACGCCGTCATGGACGTCCAGACTGTAAACGGGGTAAGTACAAAAGTCTTACTTTCTCTTAGAAAGTCTTAGTAAGTCAGACTAATAGCAAGAGTTGGGAGTCTTATGGAAGAGTTAATAAGACTTTTTAAGACTTAATAAGACTTTTAGCAGAGAAATGGTAGGTAGGTACCTATAGCGATTAAAATAAATATCCGGAATTATTCAGAGATGTTGTATTTGGTTATTGCAAAAGAAAGCACAATGAAAAGGATTCATAAACACTGTTTTTGCGTTGTTATAAGGCTTATAAAAACACGGAAGCAACGTTTACAATGTAGGTAAACAAACTTTATTTTAATTGAACAAAATAAAACAGTGGGAGATACGTTTGGTTTGTGTACATACAGATCCCTTGCTGATCAAGTACGTATATAAGGTATAATAACTATAACAATTCTTCGCAACGCATAGGCGTGGTATGGTCGACAGTCGAACTCATACACAGATTATAAAACTCATAAAACAAATATGGTTGATCTTCCAGTTGCTTTCATTGCTTTGTGTGTTTTATACAGTACTGTATACACAACACGTGTTGCCGGATAAATGTCATAAAAGTTCCCGACCAAAAATTACAAAATATTTACTAAAAAAACTAGTTATATTTTAAAATTACTAGCGCATTCGCCCTGTTTTAAAAAAAATAATTAAATTAATTTAAAAATTTTATATAAGTAAATAAAAATGTAACAGGTTATCCTATATAGAATAAAATAATTATGCATTTTTATTAAACATACAATATTATTTACTGAAAATATCTTCAGTTAGTATTTTGATCGAAATTTGCAAAATATACCCGCTTCAAAATTCTACCCGCAAACATGACGAAAATACCCGATTTCCGAATAAAACACCCGCAAACGGCAACACTTGGTAAGTAGTGACAGGAGAGCTATCTTGAAAACGCGGGAAGATGCCATCACATGACAGATCAGCTGTGCTCTAATTGGTCAGCTGAGAAAATCGATATTGTGTCTAAAAAGTGTTTGGAACAATGGTTAGATGAATATTTGCGTATAAAAAGAAACTATTAAAATAAAACAGTACAGTGGCAACAATAAAAGCAAGTCCAGCGCATCGTATGTAACAAATTATAATTGTTATAATTATTACACCTCACATGTTATTATATATGTAATTATGCAGTAAACTTGGCTTATTACCAACCCGGCAAAATGTTAATAAATACTTTTCTTTGTGTTTTATTTTATAATAATCAAATACAACCTCTCTGAATAATTCCGGATATTTATTTTAATCGCTATAGTTAGGTTCCTACCATTTCTCTGCTCAAAGTCTTATAAAGTCTTATTAACTCTTCTGGAAGAGTCTGACTTACTACTTTTTTCCTTGCAACGTAAAACACAAATAACGTGCGCGATTTAGCTGTGCAATTGAATGAAATTTGTCGAGTAAGACTCTCTTTTGTGAAAAAACTACCTATTTATTTAAAAATGATGTACAGTTCGTATGCTTTAAATGTATTGTTGACAATTCTAAAATTCACGCAGTGGTTGAAAGTAGCTTCAGAGTTGATTGAAAATGTAGCTTAAAGATGCAGACATGACAGTCAACTTTCTTCTAGATCAGGCTGTTGAAATTGAAGAACCCCTGGTCGCATTTGAGGTGGAGGGGGAACTACTCGGAGCTCGATGCCAGGCATTGGACTGCGGAGTTGCAAACTCTACTGAATTACGATCCGAACAGTGCCGCGCAATTTGACAACGGTGTTTTTTGGATCGACTACGACAGCGTTTTGAGTTTCTTCGACGTTTTCTACATGAATTGGAATCCGGAGTTGTTCAACTACACATATTGTATTCACCAGTGAGTTTTTTGAAGTAAAAAAATTCAAAATCACAATATTTTTTGTAGATCGTGGCATGCCGGTGAAGGCCCGGTAAAAGATTTATACACAGTCGCCTCAAATCCTCAATATTCTTTGGAAGTGACATCTGACACTTCCGGAGCAGTTTGGCTTCTATTAACCAGGCATATCACCGAAATAGAAGATTTCAGGGAAAACAAAGAATACATAACGATTTTCGTGTACAAAAACGGCAAGAAAGTCTACTACCCTTGTAAGTAACAAGTACACGAAAATACATTTAAACCACAATCTGCACAACAAGGTCTGTTCTATCTCATGCTAAAAATACCAAAAAACACTGCAACACTGCACAGAGTTTAACGGCGGCCATTTTTGTTGTTTACAATTCTTGTGCTTTGGGTTTGTGCTGTTTAATAATTGTTTTAAACGTTGGGTTTCTTACTGAGGCACTTATAAGCCTCAAATAAGGCCTTAAGTGCCAAGGACAACCATTTTACTCCTCTTTTATAATAAATATACCTTATTCTATCAGGGCTGTCAAATGACAATTTGAAGGTTAATTTATGGGTTATAATTTGACCTTAAAATTGACATTTAACAGTTTTATGACAACCCTGATAGAATAAAGTTTATTTTTTACAATAGAGTAAAATGCTTGTTCTTAGCACTTTAAGGCCTCTTTTAAGGCTTACTATGAGAAACACAACGTTCAAAACGATTATTAATCTGTATAAACAGAGCACAAACCCAAAGCACAAAAATTGTAAACAACAAAAATGGCCGCCGTTAAACTGTGCAGTGTTGCAGTGATTTTTTGTATTTTTAGTACGAGATAGAACAGACCTTGTTGCATGGGCGCCGGAAGGAATTCGTCTAGGGGGGGGCCTTAAAGTTTTTTACAATTTTGATAGATGATATTTATAATCAAGTTGTACTGTAGAAGTTCACATTAAACTTAAGTCAAATAAAATATCATTTTTATATGTATATTTATATTTAATATATGTATATTTATATTTAAATCTAAATCCATAAATCCACACCATAAACTGGATCTAAATCCTCAATCATAAATCCATTACGTTATCTGGATTTAAATCATAAATCCTAAATCCACAGATAGAACAGACCTTGTTGCATGGGCGCCGGAAGGAATTCGTCTAGGGGGGGGCCTTAAAGTTTTTTACAATTTTGATAGATGATATTTATAATCAAGTTGTACTGTAGAAGTTCACATTAAACTTAAGTCAAATAAAATATCATTTTTATATGTATATTTATATTTAATATATGTATATTTATATTTAAATCTAAATCCATAAATCCACACCATAAACTGGATCTAAATCCTCAATCATAAATCCATTACGTTATCTGGATTTAAATCATAAATCCTAAATCCACTTGCAAAAAAGGATTTAAATCCTAAATCCATAAATAAATCCTCTATTTTTTAAATATTTATTTCATTAATTTTTTAAGAACAGTTTCCGGATTATTTCACTTTTTAAGTTTTATTTAAGCTAAAACCCCTTGGATTCCAAATCAAAATTGATATGAACCTTATTGCACGTATATAAGATTCCATCGAAGATCTTTGGAATATGAACATAATGACCCGGAAAACAATCGGGATTTCCTGGTGAAGTCATGATGATATCACAACGTGATTTTTTTTATTACGCTGATATCCTGAGTGCATACACATGCTTCATCACAGTGATATCATGTAGAACTCACGGTGTGATATTTGCAAAATTTGCGCATGCGTATTAGACCTGCGAAATGCGAATTTAAAACCTACCCGGACAACATTCGTGATATTCATACGAACATCACGTCGTGATTTTCACAAATTTTATTCATACTGATATCATACGGAAGTCACCGCATAATAAATGAAAATCATACGAACGTCACGTCGTGATTTTCACAAATTTTGTTCATACGGACATCATCCGGATGTCACTGCGTGAGAAATGAAAATCATGTCGTGATTTTTTATGCCAACGGTGTTTGGATAATCATTTTTGCGCCACGTTCGTACACTAAGAGAAAAATTATGTTGAATCAACAGTTTTTGCGGTTAAATACATTTAATATTTTCTTGGATTTAAATTAACTACATATAATTAATTTAAATCCAAGAAAATATTGAATGTTAAACTGTTGATTCAATTGTTAACATACTTTTTCTTTCAATGTACGAATGTGTCGCAAAAATGAATATCCAAACTCCGATGGCATAAAAAATCATGTCGTAATTTTTTATGCCATCGGTGTTTGGATATTTATTTTTGCGCCACATTCGTACATTGAGAGAAAAAGTATACCTACATATATATTGAATCAACAGTTTTTGTAGTTAAATACATTCAATATTTTCTTGGATTTAAATTAACTATAATATAGTTAATTTAAATCCAAGAAAATATTTAATGTTTTTAACCGGAAAAACTGTTGATTCAACATAATTCTTCTCTTAGTGTACGAACGTGGCCCAAAAATGATTATCCAAACACCGTTGGCATAAAAAATCACGACATGATTTTTAGGCCATCGGTCAATCGCAAACAGCGATGGCATAAAAATCACGACATGATTTTCATTTCTCACGCAGTGACATCCGGATGATGTCCGTATGAATAAAATTTGTGGAAATCACGACGTGACGTTCGTATTTTCATTTATCACGCGGTGACTTCCGTATGATATCAGTAAGAATAAAACTTGTGAAAATCACGACATGATGTTGGTATGAATATCACGAATGTTGTCCGGGGATCTGTGGCTTCTGGTTTCTTCGCCATAGGATTATGAACGAAATCAGTAAACTGTGCTTCTGATTTCTTTGAACAGCCAGCCATTTCATTCATTTTACAACTGTAACAACACTAGTGCTCATTAAGACGGCACAAATCTAAGTTAAATTATCTAAGATAACAAATCTAATTTATCTAAAAAATAATGAACAAATGATAACGATCAGCACTTAGCGTCAAATTATGGAGTACCGGAATTTCTAAGTATGAATTTCCAGGGGGGGGCCCGGGCCCCCCCTGCCCCTATGTAGCGGCGCCCATGCCTTGTTGTGTGGATTGTGATTTAAACAACATTGTTCTCTTAGATGACCCTCCACCGTACATAGATGGCGTTAAGATCAACAGTCCGCATTACACGACCAAAATTATTTTGGGGCCCGGAAGCGCCCGGAAGTACACCATAGTGATATCGCAGTACGAAAAATCCACCACCATTCACTACACTTTAAGGGCTTACGCGACGTGTCCCTTTACTTTAACAAAAATTAAGGATCCCTATGTTCAAGAAAAACAGGTATGAATAAAAAATGCAAGTTATTTTTTCAGCTCTAAAGCCTAATTTATAGATTGCCTTCCTTGGCTCCCGTAAAAGATAAAGAATACAAAAACCGTTGCGCCGTTTATAGATTCCCGTACGGAAGAAAGGAAATCTATAAATCAGGCTTATGCCGTTTTCGAGCAAAAGTCGTTAATTTTGATTTACAAGCTTTTTTGGGGCTTTTGAGATTTGACGCTTTTTGAGGTCTCCAGTCGTTTTTAAGCTTAAAATATAAAGAATTTGTAAATTTGAAAGTAAAAAAAAGGGTTTAATTTTTATTTTTAAACTTTTTTAAGTTCTTGAGCTAGGTAGCTTTTTTGCTCTTTTTAAGCCTACAATTTTAAATTTTTGTACATTTTGAATATTTTGTAAATTTTAAAGGTAAAAGTAAAAAAATTCGTTAAATTTTATTTTCAAGCTTTTTGGAGCTTTTGAGCTTTAAAGCTTTTTTTGAGCTCTCTAGTCATTTTAAGCTAAAATTTTAAAGAATTTGTAAATTTTAAAGTTTTTCAAGCCTACAATTTTAAAATGTTTGTATATTTTGGGTTTTAAAGCTTTTTTGAGCTTTCTTCATAAGAATTTGTAAATTTTAAGTAAAAGGGTTCAATTTTTATTTTAAGCTTTAAATTTTACAGGTTTTAAGGTACAAAAGGGGGTTATTTTTAAGCTTTTTTAAAGTTTTTGAGCTTTGTAGCTTTATTAAGATCTCAAGCAGTTTTTAAGCCTAAAATTTTAAATTTTTTAAATATTTTGTAAATTTGTAAGGTTCTTAAGTAAAAAAAAATTGTTAATTATTATTTTTAAGCTTATTGGAGCTTTTGAGCTTTGATGCTTTTTTGAGCCGTCAAGTCGTTTTTAAGCTTTAATTTTAAAAGTTTTTAAAGTTTTACATTTTTAAGTTTTTTTGTAGGTTTTGAGCTTTGAAGCTTTTTTAAGCCCTACAGTCGTTTTTGAGCTTAAAATTTTAAAGAATTTGGAAATTTTAACGGTTTTTAAGTAAAAAGGGGGTTACATTTTTATTTTTAATCTTAAATTTTTAATGAATATCCACATTTTAAAGGTAGTCAAATAGCAACAGGTCATCAATTTTATTTTTAAGCTTCTGAGCTTTGAAGCTTTTTTGCGCTCTCAAGCCGTTTTAAGCTTAAAATTGTGTTTTATAGGTTTTCAAGTAAAAAACCTCAATAATTTTTATTTTAAAAGCTTTTTTAAGCTCCAAAGTCGTTTTTAAGCTTGGAATTATAAACAATTTGGAAACTTTAAAGGTTTTCAAGTAAAAAAAAGTCGTTAATTTATATTTGAAGCTTTTGAGCTTCGTAACTAAGCTCTACAGTCGTTTTAAGCTTATAATTTTAATGAATCTGTAAATATTAAAAACTTGAAAGTAAAAAAAGTCGTTAATTTTTATTTTGAAGCTTTTTTCAGCTCTCAAGCTTAAAATTGTACTATTTTGTAAGTTTTGCAAATATAATATATTATGCAAGCTCTGCAGTCGTTTTAAATTTTGAATTTTTTTAATATTGAAAGTTTTTTAAAATGTCGAATATATTGATTACATAATTTTTATTATAAACTATTTAGAATCTTTAAAGCTTAATTTTTTATTACATATTTGGAAATTTTTTAAATATTGATAATTTTGAATTTTTTTTTTTTTTTTAATTTATTTATTTACCCAAAAAGACCAAAGGTCGAATATATTGATTACTTATTATTATTATTTTAAAAATCTTTGTTTGAATATTTAAATACGAAGCAGGTTTACCCCTTCCGCAAAATAGTTTCACCTTGAAAATTGTCAATACATTTGTTAGGTTACTGGTGAATGGAAAGGCCTTACAGCAGGAGGATGTCCGAACCATCCTGCAACATATCCAAACAACCCCAAATTTAGAATCGAAATCGATTCAGTCACAAACGATAACAAATTGTTAATCGAATTGAGGGGGCCCAAAGTCTATCAAATAGGCATTGAGGCCACCATACAAAAAATCAACGACGAAAGTATTACTGCGCCGTTCAAAACAAAATCGTCTGGACCTTACAGGTAAATGAAAACGAATACCCTTGTGGAAATTTTTCTCTGAGAAAGTTTTAATAAGAGTTCTTTCTCTTAGTAAGTCAGACTAATAGCAAGATTTGGGAGTCTTATGAAAGAGTTAATAAGACTTTTTAAGACTTAATAAGACTTTTAGCAGAGAAATGGTAGGTACCTATAGCGATTAAAATAAATATCCGGAATTATTCAGAGATGTTGTATTTGGTTATTGCAAAAGAAAGCACAATGAAAAGGAACACTGTTTTTGTGTTGTTATTAGGCTTATAAAAACACGGAAGCAATGTTTACAATATAGGTAAACAAACTTTATTTTAATTGAACAGAATAAAACAGTTGTGAGATACGTTTGGTTTGTGTACATACAGATAGATCCCTTGCTGATTAAGTACATATATAAGGTATAATAACTATAACAATTCTTCGCAACGCAAAGGCATGATATGGTCGACAGTCGAACTCATACACAGATTATAAAACTCATTAAACAAATATGGTTGATCTTCGAGCTGCTTTCATTGGTTCATGTCTTTTATACAGTGTTGCCGGATGAATGTCACAAAAGTTCCCGACCAAAAATTACAAAATAGGTACTAAAAAACTAGTTATATTTTAAATTTACAAGCGCATTCGCCCTGTTTTAAAAAAATAATGATATTAATTTAAAATTAATTAAAAGTAAATAAAAATGTAACAGGATATCCTATATAGAATAAAATAATTATGCATTTTTAGTAAACATACCATATTATTTACTGAAAATATCTTCAGTTAGTATTTTGATCGAAATTTGCAAAACATCCGAATTTACCCGCTTTAAAATTCTACCCGCAAACATGACGAAAATACCCGATTTCCGAGTAAAACACCCGCAAACGGCAACACTTGGTAAGTAGTGACAGGAGAGCTATCTTGAAAACGCGGGAAGATGCCATCACATGACAGATCAGCTGTGCTCTAATTGGTCAGCTGAGAAAATCGATATTGGGTCTAAAAAGTGTTTGGAACAATGGTTAGATGAATATTTGCGTATAAAAAGAACTATTAAAATAAAACAGTACAGTGGCAACAATAAAAGCAAGTCCAGCGCATCGTATGTAAAAATTATAATTGTTATAATTATTACACCTCACATGTTATTATATAGGTAATTATGCAATAAACTTGGCTTATTACCACCCCGGCAAAATGTTAATAAATACTTTGTGTTTTATTTTTAAGAGAAAGTAAGACTTTAAAAACTCTTTATTTTTACTTATTAAAACTTTCAGAGAAAAATGTCCACAAGGGAATTGTTAAAGCTGGGAAAAAACTTAACATTTTTATGATTTTAGGACTGGTTATGTCATTTTAGAGTTGGACAACGTCCCCGCAGGGACTCTAAGGTTAATTCCGTCCACTTTCCTACCGCAGCAAGAGGGTCCCTTCATTTTAAAAATCAAATCATCGGCTTCGATGAAAGTCTACAGTTAAACCCCTGTGATTATTTTTGTTACGCTTTATATATGTATATTAGGCCACGTTATTTCTAATAAATATTTTATTAAATCGTTTACTACACACTGTCGTTTGTTTTTTGCGTTGTTGCCCCAGACCCGTGCCTCCGTTTGTCACCAAACGCCTTCACCACGCCATCTATGAGCTGTATGGACGAAGCACTCGAGCTGAGGTGGATAAACAAATCGTTTATGTTTATCGTGCGCAGTTCCTCAACTTCGTGGCCGAAATCTCGCATCTCTCTCACGTAGGGGAAACCCCCCTCGTAGAAGAGCTTCATCGGCATCAGTTGGTGGTGAAGCCTGTCAAGAAGATGGGGAGTAGAGCACTCTACTTCTACTACCGTGCGCAAAGTAACATCCGCACCCATATGCTATGGATGTTTGAGGCATATACATTGAATTTAACATCAATTACTTGATAGTACTGATGTCCATGGATATTCCCCGGATAATGAAAAGTATATACTTTGAAGCTTATGTATATCCATCGAATATGCGATGGATATTTAATGCTTTGTGGGTTGTTATCTGACTTTGCGCACTTGTAATGAAAATAACTATACCTGCGGTTTTCCATGGCCTCCTCCAACGGAACTTCGTACAAGATGTGCTCCAAAATGATCTGAGAGACGGCCGTGATGATTTTGGGCCCGCCCGCTGCACCAATCACCAGTCTTATAAGTCCTGTGCTTTTGTTCAGTATAATGGTTGGGCTCATGCTCGATAGGGGTTGTTTTTCCGGTTCGACGTCGTTCAACGATAGAGGATCTTTGGCCACGTTGAAATCCATCATGTGGTTGTTGAGGATTATTCCGGTAGATGGCGATGCGAACATGGCACCATAACTGTCAAAATGATATTTTGTTAGTCTTAGCAAGTTTTCCCATATCGTGCCCAAATTTGGGTTAACCTCCTTAAAATCAGTTTTAAACAATGACATTATTTCTTACGCCGAATTTATCGAGCTAGTGATGGCTATAGCATCTCCGTTGGAAGCTAGCACGCAAACGTTGCAAGTTCCCCCGCCGCAGTAAGAACTGAAGCATTCGTCGCTGTAAAAGTCCAGATTCGCTCTTGTTTTCGGCGTCGCCAACACTTTGCTCCTGATGCTCTCGATGCAATCGGCATCCATGTGGTTGATGCATTTCTTCATGTTCTCCTTCTTGGGGCCTTCTAGTCTGCACCGGAAACCGAACGCATGCTTCCAGGTCTCGACTATGCGAGCCCACTTCAGTTGGGGGTCCGGGTTCGGCTCCTTGATGCCGAATATCACGTTTAGTATCAGTTGTATGACAGGGCCTGAGCCCGGTGGGGGCGGGGAGAATACTGTCAAGTCGTTGGGGAGTTCCGATGAGAGGGGCTCCACCCAGGCAGTACTGAAAATGGCTAATATACATCTAGAGGCCACGATACGCAAGACAACAAACGGAAAAATACAGAAGGGTATAGGATGACTCCCCGTAAAGTTTTATTAGAACTGTATTGACTATAGTTTAAGTCAAACTCAATGGTGCCCTACAAGATACATTACTTTGATTTTCTATATTCAACAGAGAGGTAGAAACTCGACCCTGTCGAATGGCGCAGTCGTTTATGTCTCTGGAAATTATTGAAAAAGGGGGCAGTCCAATGGTGCAGCAACTTCGGATTCCTATTCTCCTCAGAGACATAGAAACTCAAGCTTTTCGAATTTTACTGGCAATGGTTTTCGTTAATGTCCCCGAGAATTATACAAAAACAGCGCAATCCAATATCGCAACGGTTTCGACTTCTCTTAACTCTACCAAGTTATAGAAACTGGAGTCTATCTAATAGGTACTGTTCTAGTTAATATTTCTGAGAGTATAAAAAGAGGGTGTAATTCAATATTGCAAGAAGTTTTGATCTTTTGATGGATGCAAGTAGTTTGAATATTCTCCTTTCTGCATACGATTTTGTTGAAAATAGTTCCTTTCTTTGGTTCCTTTGTCTGATTGTTGTTTACCGTAACAACTCAGGTATGTAAAGCACAGAGTATATTTATGTATTATATAAAGTACCTATAATTGTATTAAACATTTCAGATGTTATGTTGAAAAAACGATCGATTTGCTATTAAACTTTAATAATTTAGTGATGAGGTCTGTTGGTAGACCCTGCACATCTCCACTGGTAGTTTTATGTTAGTTCAGCAATATTTAAATCTGGTTAATCAAAAAGTACACATCAGTGCAGGTTATTGTAGCATCTAAGAACAAATGAATTAATGGCCCATTGGCAATTATTCCTTTAGACGACGAATACAACTCTATACCGTGGCGAGGGTTTATAAAACTGTATTCAAACGTGGCGTCATCCAATACACTTCTATATTTTTCCGTTTGCTGTTTGCTATAGAGGCTAAATGAAGCAACTTTGTAGGTACCTATAGGTGCTCATGTCTTCGTAGGTCAGGACTCCACCCTCATTTTGTATATCTCTGATGAAACTTTCAGTCAATTCCCCATTGTAGAGAACATTGGGTCCTTTTTCCACCACTAATTGAAGGGTGCGGCCCAAGTGAGGCCTCATCATTTTGTCACCGTGTCCTATAAGTTCGCCGTTGTCTTTTAGAAACATGTTTCTAAAAATGTTAGTTTACAAGTTTATATATTTTAGGTCATAGTGCAAGAAAACAAGGTATGCTATTGCGCATCTTTTTCCACCACTCCATCGGATTGGCGAAGAGGTGGGAGCACCCAGTCGCCGCCATATTGAAGTTATCTTTGGTACAGTCCAGCAGTTAACTACAAACGGGAGTGTTCAACCGAAAAAAGAGTTCGTTGAGCAAATATTTAATATTGTTTTTTTAATTAAAATTGAAAAAATAAACTAAGATGGCGGTAGCTGGGTGGTGCGCAAAATGAACCAAAATTCGTCCTAATGAGGAACATACCTTGTTTTCTTGTACCATGGATGTGGTCACTCTGTGGGTGTAGTACTTAAGTGTGGGGGATTCCATAATCTGCGATCTACGACTTTCGATAAAAGATCCGCAATATTTCGATATTGGTATTCCGTTTTTGCAGTAAAAAATGGCCGGTTCCAAAACCTTGCCCCACTCCAGTTTACCGTACTTCTGGTGTAAATCCCAGTAGCCCTGTAGTTCCCCTGGTACGCACACAGACAGGCCGCCAACTATAGGAACTAAAAACACAAGACATGCATTGTATGCTTACAAATTTAAGACTTATATACATAGATTATCAAATAGGTCTCCTTTGGCTCTTATAGGCGCGTACTCTCTAGCATTTAAGCATTCGACCGTAGCGGAATTTTGTTGGTAATGGGTGCACAAAAATCCCCCACCCAAACCCATGCTCTGCGGGTTGCATATGCCGTCCATGAGTAAGGTGGCTATAGCCGAATCTGCTGCAGATCCACCCTGCTCCAAGATATCACTAGGTGGAGCAAAAAAATGTTTATTTGCTTAATTGAAGGGAAAAACTTACATTCCAACGAAAACTTACATTCCAACGGCAACACTTAGCTCACTGTTAGCCGCGACCCCTCCAACATGTTTAAAAGCTGATTTAAGGTTTTCGTTAAATTTGGGTTTAGTAGATGTTTCAGTTTCATCCTGCGAACTTTGTTGCATCACCGTGAATAAGTCGAAATCATTGATGATGGTGTTTGACAGGTGCGTCTTTTTTGACAAACGTAAATTTTAATGTACAGGGCGATCAATTTGAGGAAGGCCCGCGAATAAAACATAAAGTTCTTTTTTATCTGGACTGCGGCAACGTTGCAAATTTAGGGGTTTGGTTGGTAAATACAGTTGTCAAGTTGGTTGCATTGATTAAAACAATTTAAACTGGTTATAAATGTAATTGTGGTTATGTTTAATTTATTGTAGGTTGTTAAGTCAAGTTACCTTCCTCTTTTGTGAAAAAACGACCTATTTATTTAAAAATGATGTATAACGATTATTATTCTGTATAAACAGCACAATTCTTAAGAATTGTTAACAACATAGAGGGTTGCCTAACTTTGTGGATTGTGGAATAAGATTCGGTTACAGAAGAAATAAAACAACTTGTGTTCAATAATAGAAAAAATATGAAATTTATTTAATCAAAAAATCCATCTTATTTAGTTTTCAAAGCTTTCTGCTTTTCTTCGACCATGTCGAGCATTTTTTGGGACTCGTCGATAATTTTTTGAAGCCGTTCCTTTGTAGCAGAGGTCTGATTCTTCTTCAATTTATCCTTGGAGTCCTCAATAGCGCATTTGTACCCGGTAATGTTATGGAAAACCCGGATGTGACGCTCACCGGAAGCGAAAACATAGTTTCCGGTCGAGTCAAACATCAAGTTGCTTATGGGGCCTAAAATGTCAAAATTAGATATATAGTTTGAAAGTTTAAAACAACCCAAATTCACCGTTGGAGAAGACGTTATCGATTTTCATGTCCAAAACTCCAGTGAGCGCTGAGAAAAAGTACAGAGTACTCGAGGCGGATATGACGACCACTTCCGCATTGGGTGACAGTGCTATTTTGGCGGTGTTGCCGATTGTTTGGTATTTTCCTGTCGTTCTAACGCGTGGATCTTCGCCTCTCTTATACTCAACTAAAAAAAATATACAGTTACTTTCTCTTAAAAAGTCTAAATAAGTCTTAGTAAGTCAGACTAATAGCAAGATTTGGGAGTCTTCTAAAAGACTTAATAAGACTTTTAGCAGAGAAATGGTAGGTACCTATAGTATCCGGAATTATCCAGAGATGTTGTATTTGGTTATTGCAAAAGAAAGCACAATGAAAAGGATTTATAAGCACTGTTTTTGCGATGTTATAAGGCTTATAAAAACACGGAAGCAATGTTTACAATGTAGGTAAACAAACTTTATTTTAATTGAACAGAATAAAACAGTTGGGAGATACGTTTAGTTTGCGTACATACAGATCCCTTGTTGATTAGGTACATATGTAAGGTATAATAACTATAACAATTCTTCGCAACGCATAGGCATGATATGGTCGACAGTCGAACTCATACACAGATTATAAAACTCATAAAACAAATATGGTTGATCTTCGAGCTGCTTTCATTGGTTCGTGTGTTTTATACAGTGTTGCCGGATGAATGTCATAAAAGTTCCCGGCCAAAAATTACAAAATAAGTACTAAAAAACTAGTTATATTTTAAATTTACTAGCGCATGCGCCTTGTTTTAAAAAAAATAATTAAATTAATTTAAAATTTTTATATAACTAAATAAAAATATAACAGGATATCCTATATAGAATAAAATAATTATGCATTTTTAGTAAACTTTCAATATTATTTACTGAAAATATCTTCAGTTAGTATTTTGATCGAAATTGGCAGAATTCTACCCGCAAACATGACGAAAACACTCGATTTCCGAGTAAAACACCCGCAAACGGCAACACTGGTAAGTAGTGACAGGAGAGCTATCTTGAAAACGCGGGAAGATGCCATCACATGACAGATCAGCTGTGCTCTAATTGGTCAGCTGAGAAAATCGATGTTGTGTCTAAAAAGTGTTTGGAACAATGGTTAGATGTATATTTGCGTATAAAAAGAAACTATTAAAATAAAACAGTACAGTGGCAACAATAAAAGCAAGTCCAGGGCATCGTATGTAAAAAATTATAATTGTTATAATTATTACACCTCACATGTTATTATATACAAAAAAAACACAAGGTGAATCTTACTTTTTGTATCGTACAACTTCCAGGTGCCATCTTTGGACACCGTTGCCATATGAGACGTATCCACGTCGAAGGCAACATCGTAAACCCCGGACGTATGACCAATGAGTTCAAAAACTCTTTTAACCTCTTGGAACTCATTGTTTTTGAAGATGACCTCCCATACGGTGACATGTGGGGCAAAACCTTGAAATTATTTTTTTTATTTTTTTTTTTCCAAAAATAACGAATTTTATTATTACCAGATGCCACTATGAATCGACCGCAAGGCGAAATCTTAGCACACACTGTCGACATCAGATATGTGTCCAAATTTGCCAAAGTTTGTCCTTTTAGATCCCAAACCATCAGGTTATTATCCTTGGAACAGGTCATTATGAACTTTCCATTGCTTGCTATGGACATACCCACTACGTCATCGTTGTGTGGCTACAAGTATAAAAATGTCATGAAATGCTTTATTATGGGATGTCAATTATACCCTTATAAAACCATATTTACTTAAGAAAGCCCTATAGTCCATTTTATTTAAATCAGTATATCAACACAAAACGTATATTGAATAAATATGGTTAAGAAATTTGATTAAAACATTTTTCTATTAGTTAAATGGATGTACACACAAAAATTAAACGAATTTGTAAAATTATTGAAGCGATGTTTTTTTGTATTTTGCCTCTACAAACTTAGAATATTAAGTAAACATATCTAGTAATTATTTTAAAATTGACATTTTTATCTTAATGTAAAGATAATTCAACCGAGAGTAAAGCCTGAAAAATGTGTTTTTGACACTCTTAATTGAGTGTTAACTTAACACTGTTAAGGTAATTTTGAGATTCTTATGATTTTGGTTTTGGACATGCTAAAATCTTTCTTTGACATTCTAAAATAAGTCTCGACATTTTCCAATATTTTTGGTTTTCCAAAATGTGTTAATTTTAAGATTCTTGTAATTTTGACTTTCCAAAATTGGTTTTTGACATTCTAAAATCTGTTTTTGAAATTCTAAAACAAGTCTTTTTTACATTTCAAAGGTGTTTTTGACGTAAGGTAACTTTGGGAGTATTATGATTTTGACACTCTAAAATTGGTTTTAACATTAAAAAAATGTTTTTGACATTCCAAAATGTGTTTTTAACACTATTAATTATGTGTGTTAAGGTAATTTTGAGATTATTATGATTTTGACATTTTAAAACTTGTTCTTGACATTCTAAAATAAGTCTCGACTTTTCCAATGTTTGATATTGTAAAATGTGTTTTATAACACTTAAACAATGTTTTTGACATTCCAAAATGTGTTTTTGTTTTTGCGTGCTAAGGTAATTTTGAGATTATGATTTTGACTTTCTAAAATTATTTTTTGACATTCTTAAATCTGTTTTTGCCATTCTAAAATAATTCTCGACATTTCCCAATATTAATAATTTTTAATTAATAATAATTTAAAATTTTTGGTATTGTAAAATATGTTTTAACATTTAAAACGTGTTTTTGGTTTTCCAAAATGTGATTTTGACACTCTTTGTTGTGTGTTAATTTTAAGATTTTTATAATTTTGACTTTTTAAAATTGGGTTTTTACATTCTAACAATTAAAAAATGTTTTTGACTTTGCAAAATGTGTTTTTGACACTCTTAACTGTTTGTTATTATGAGATTACTATGATTTTGGCTTTCTAAAATAGGTTTTTGACATTCTAAAATCTTTTTTTGACATTCTAATGTCTGTTTTTTACATTCTAAAATAAGTCTTGACATTTCCCAATATTTTTGGCATTGTAAAATGTGTTTTAACATTAAAAATTTGTTTTTGACATTCTAAAATTGGTTTTTAACATTCTAAAATCTGTTTTCGACATTGTAAAATAAGTCTTGACATTTTCCAATACGTAGGGCATTTTAAAAAGGGTTTTAACACTTAAATAATGTTTTTGACATTCCAAAATGTGTTTTAGACACTCTAAAATAAGTCTAGACATTTCCCAATATGTTTGGCATTGAAAAATGTGTTCAACATTTAAAACATGTTTTTGACATTTTAAAATGTGTTTTTAACACTCTTAACCCTGAATTATATAGATTGCCTTCCTTCCTTCCTCCCGTAGTCGTGCCCGTACGACTTGTGCGTCTTGTAAAAAGTCAATTTATAGATTTCCGTGTAAAATTCCGTAACCATGCGCGATGACACCTAAAATGGTTGACATCCTTACGATACGGAAATCTATAAATGGCACTACGATTTATATAAACATTTTTGACGTAATTGTCACCATTAACATTGCCCGTTATTAATTTTAATTAAACTTAACAATTATTGATACTTTAAAATATTAAAATAACTTCAAAATATGATTTTGTTAAGAAAATATTTTATCCTTTGATTTTTTTTATTACTATAATTGCAAAATATTATCACAGTATTAAAAATTCTTACACGGGAAATGTTAATGGTGACAATTGCGTCAAAAATGTTTATTGGGAACAATACGAAATTTCGTATTGTTCATCTTCTACGGGAGGAAGGAAATCTATAATTCAGGCTTAAGACTGTTAATTTAACTAACTAGGGGTTACTTTATTTAACTCATGTCTATTAGGTACCACATTGAATTTTTCGCGCGCAGAATTGTGCTCAAATAATAATTTTATTATTTCAGACTGTTTAAATTACTAACCCGTTAAATCAACAGCTTTATGATATTTTTATGGTGACAATATTTACTTATTATATTAACAAATCTGTTGCGATTTAAATATGTATTTAATTTAATTTTAAATTGTGAATGCATTTGCAAATATTTCGGGGAAGGTACAATATAACGAAATTTTCTTTTAAAAGTAACGTAATACTTAGTATAATTTATTATATCTATTCACGAAAAAATGGTTGACTCATTATTTTTATTTGTTAAGT